ACTCATTTGCTTTTGTCTTTCTTGTCGCCATTCATTAGTTTTATCCACACATTTTAATATGTCTAGTATGTTTTCTGTATGTGTAAGAAGTAAGTATTTAACTGTGTTTTACTGAACTTGCAACAATCAAACCAGTGATCACTGTCTATACTTTGTCAATGCTGCTTTAAAGTTGTCTTTGTCTGTTCCTGTGCAGAGGACCAGATCAGGACATGCAGCACCGGCCAGTTCACTTGTACCAATGGAAACTGCATCCCCCAGTCAATGGTCTGTGATGGCAACAGTGACTGTTGGGACAATAGTGATGAGGCTGCTGAACTACAGTGTGGTGAGATAGAATTTGATGATCTGTGTACTTTGTTAGAGGCTAGGTTCATAGCATATAAATCCTCTATTCCCCAAAGACCCTCCTCATTCTCTCTCTCTGTCCCCTACAGGACAACGTACCTGCAGTTCCAACCAGTTCACCTGCCCAACCTGGCAGCCCGGCCACCCACGCTGTGTGCCCATAAGCTTTGTGTGTGATGGGGAGAAAGATTGTGCCAATGCGGCAGATGAGCTCCAGAACTGCCCCAATCGGACCTGCCACTTGAACGAGTTTGCCTGTTCAAATGGACTTTGCATCTTTCTTCCCTTCCAGTAAGTAGGAATTGTGTGTGAATTGATCATAAATAAAATATTTCTTTACCAGTCTGGAATCTAATTTTCTTGTCACTTAATCTGAGTGAATTTCTCCTCCTCTCCAGCTGTGACCGTGTGAACGACTGCGGGGACGGTAGCGATGAGTTGGGCTGTACTTACGACACATGCAAGAGTAATCAGTTCACCTGTGGCAACGGAGCGTGCATCCCCGCCTCCTTCACCTGCGATGGCGAGAGCGACTGTACAGATGGCTCCGATGAAGAGGACAGCTTGTGCATCACGCCACAGCCCACCTGTGCTCCTCAACAGTACATGTGCAAGTCAGGCGAGTGTATCGACAACAACAAGGTGTGCAACGGAATGAAGGACTGCCAGGACAACAGCGACGAAAAAGGCTGTGGTGAGAGAGATAGAAATGTGACAGTGATGATGGATGTAAATTAATGTGTCTCTCACAAACAAAAGGATTTCTTTCCAAACCAGAATAGGTTTTGACTTGTTTATGATTATTAGTCTTGTTTCTGTATCAATCTGCATTTCTTTCTTCGTTCTTTTCAGGAGTCAACGAGTGCAGAAACCCCTCAGTCCACCAGTGTGCCCAGGTCTGCACCGACACCGTCACCAGTTACTACTGCTCCTGCCACCCTGGTTACCAACTCATGCCGGACGGCAAAGCTTGCGAGGACCTCAACGAGTGTCTAAGAACACCAGCCGTCTGCAGCCAGATCTGTGAGAACTCTGTTGGCTCGTACCACTGCAAATGTGCCCCAGGGTACATCCGTGAGGCAGATGGTCGCACCTGTCGTCAGAACAGCGGCATTGCCCCGTACCTGTTGTACAGTAATCGCTACTACATCCGCAATTTGACCACAGATGGGTCACAACTGAGTATAGTCCTGCAGGGGCTGTCGAATGCGGTGGCATTAGATTTCGATCACTATGAGAAGAGGCTTTATTGGCTGGATGCAGGGGCAGGAAAGATTGAGAGGATGCGCTTTGACGGGACTGACAGGGAGACAGTGATTGAAGAAGACATTAGAGGAGCTGAAGGCATCGCGATCGACTGGGTGGGCAGGTGAGTGAAGCGGAAGAAACTTAATGTTAAAGATGCTCTTGTTGTTGACTGAAACAAGGCTTCAAGGATGTTAATGGAAACTTTCTCTGTCTGCTGCAGGAAGTTGTACTGGGTGGATGGTTATTACGCCTCACTTCATGTAATGGAGCTGGATGGGCGTTACCAAAAGAAGCTGCTGTCAGGGGAGTTCACAGATGGAAATACTACTTACATCATCAGCCGACCTCGTGCTGTAGTCGTCAACCCTAAATATGGGTAGAAACACGCATTTACTTTTTCTTGACATACTACGTGATCCCACATTGTCCATTCTGATCATGGCTTTTGTTTCTCAGGTGGCTGTACTGGACCGATTGGGCTGACGCAGCATATATCGGCAGAGTCGGCATGGACGGAAGCAACGTCAGCGCCATCATCACAACCAAGCTGGAGTGGCCTAACGCCCTAACCGTCGACTACACCACCAACAAGATCTTCTTTGCTGATTCACACCTTAACTTCCTGGAGTGAGTTAAGAGACACAGACAGGAGTCCATGTTGAATGTAGCTCTGGATTTCTCCACCGTGCACCAATCACTCACTGTGTCAACCTTCAGCTTTGCAGATATGGACGGCCAGAACCGACACCGGGCCATTGCCGGTTCTCTTCCTCATGTCTTTGCCGTTTCCCTGTTTGAGGACTGGGTCTATTGGACAGACTGGAACACACACACGGTGGAGAAGGCCCACAAGTACACCGGCGAGCAGCGCACAGTCATGGGGAACAACACACATCGACCCTATGACATTCATGTCTACCACCCCTACAGGCAGCCTCGGAGTATGGAAATTACAACTGTACATGTTTATAATCCTAAAGTGATTATTGGTGGTTTCTTTATTTTTAATTATTTCACTTCCAAGGTGAAAACCCCTGCTCCTCCCATCACCTGACCTGCAGTCATCTGTGTCTGATCGCACCTGGTGGGCAACAAGCTTCCTGCGAGTGTCCCGATCACTTCATCGGCCTCTCGGTGGGCTTCAAGATCCAGTGTGTCGCTGACTGCAGCAGCACCCAGTTCCGCTGTGGAGACAATGAGAGGTAACTATTCTCATCACGCAGTCCCTGATTTTAAACTCACACAAGCTTTGAGTTGCAAACATCGGTCACAGTTGTAGAATAAAGTTCAAATGTATTATGTATAACCTACTTTGTTGGTTTTAGGTGTGTGCCCATATGGTGGAAGTGTGACGGCCAGTCTGATTGTGGTGATGGCTCAGATGAACCTCAGACCTGCCCCCCCCGTCTCTGTCCTATTGGCCAATTCCAGTGTCAAGACGGTAACTGCACCTACCCTGGCTTCATCTGCGACGGCCACTCGGACTGCTCCGACAGCTCAGACGAGGATGCTGCTCTCTGCAGTAAGATAAATAACTTTGCTTTTGATTCATGAGGAATCATTCACAAAGTTCTATAGGCCTTGTCAGGAGAAGCCATCAACACTAGTGAAGCTTCAGTCTTTTTCTGTAGGTGACCACAGATGCCAAGAAAACCAGTTCCAGTGTAAAAACAAGAGGTGCATCCCTGTGTCCTGGCATTGTGATGGAGTAGATGACTGTTCGGACGGCAGTGACGAGGACGCAGAGACCTGTGCCCAGAAAACCTGTCGACCGGGACAGTTCCAGTGTGCCAACGGGCTCTGCCTGCCGTCAAGCTACGTGTGTGACGCCCAGAACGACTGCGGAGACGGATCTGATGAACCGTATGAAACCTGCAGTAAGTCGGATGTTAGGGGTCGGACATTAAAACCGAAATAAAACAAGAAAGTTACACAATTCATTATTTAAACTGATGTTTCCACTTGAGCTTGGAGAGAGGTGTGATGTCTGATTTCATTTCGACTTGTGTTCATGAGGAAATAAGAAAAAAAGCTAAAACTGATGATGCCAGTGAACAGAGCCAGTTTAAGACAGTTTAGATTTGTCATCAGTGTAAAGTCCAGGAAGCTTTCTGTTAGTCTTTTCTAAATTTAAGTGGCACAAGCTATTTATCTTTTCCACTGTCACCCTTCTTCCTTCTGCACATTGTCTTGTCTTGCTCCTCCTCATAAATCCTCAGCTCCTATGTTTTTATAACATTTAGTTGTCATTTTCTGTGTCCGACTCAGCAGTCACACATCTTTCCTCGTCTGTCTCTGTCTGTTTCTCCACTCAGGGGGTCCAGACTACAAGTGTGACCCAGACACTGAGTTCTCCTGCAAGACAAACTACCGCTGCATTCCTCAGTGGGCCCGCTGCGACGGCACCAACGACTGCATCGACAACAGCGATGAGCAAGGCTGCGGTCAGTGGTGGCACATTTGTTATGTTGTGAGAGAGTCTGAACTACAGGAGACATATGATGCTTCTTCAGTTTAACTTTCCTCATGTGTGTTTTATAGTTATGAGCCCAAAGTCCTGTCCCTCACAGAAAACACTGATCCTGAAGCTCCTGAAACAAATGGACGAAACTTTCAGTTTCTTTCTGACCTTGTCTCTCTAACAGAGGAGGTGACCTGTGATCCTCTGGGAGATTTCCGGTGTGACAACCACCGCTGTGTTCCCATCCGCTGGCAGTGTGACGGCAGCAATGACTGTGGGGACGGCTCAGACGAGAGGAACTGCCGTGAGTGTGACATTTTTCACCTCGATCCAAACAAACACAGATGTCCACCTGAATTACAAAACTATTTTCATCAGGTCTTCTTTGAAATTCGAAAAGTTGTAAACAGTAACACCACATCCTGCTCCCACACTGAAGATACATGTGTGTCTGTGATTTCGGTCCACAGAGCCAAGGCCCTGCTCTGAAAGTGAGTTTCGATGTGACAACGCACAGTGCATCTCTGGAAACTGGGTGTGTGACCATGACAACGACTGTGGGGACAACTCGGACGAACGAGACTGTGGTGAGCATGATGCAGCACACAAATAAACAGCATGTTGTCACAAACAACACGCGCACACACCTATGTTAACGTCCTGGCTCTCTTCCAGATTTGCAGACCTGTCGCCCGGGTTTCTTCCAGTGTGACTCGGGTCATTGTCTCCCTGCTGCTCTGCAGTGCGATGGCCGGCCTGATTGTCAGGACCTGTCAGATGAGACCAGCTGCCGTGAGTTAACAACATGAAAACTAATGGCAAACTGCCTGCAGCATCATACGGCCCTTCTAATGAGCTTCTGTGCATTTCTACACGTCTGTGGTCTTGAATTGTTTAAGGGTCAAATTTTAATGATGTCTAAAATTTGCTGTAGTAGAGCAGAAACATCTAGGAAACAGTATTACCTGGTCATCTTATAACCTGAAATCAAACAACACAAAAGTGACCAGGTAAAAATGATATCTAAACAAGTTTAATTACAGTGCAGCTGTTAATCCACAAAGTCCACTGGATGTTTACAAAAGATCATTTTAGTCGATTCTGTCTCTCATTACTCCAGTGGATCTTATAACCATCACACCGTTCAGCTCCCAGGTGTCAATGTTTGTACCTCGATGACACTGAAGAAAGACCATGTCGTACAAGTCACTACAGAAAGGTGGACAAAAGTAATTAACCAAATTTTCCTCCACCCTGACAGCTACTCGTTACCCAGGGGGCCGTTGGTGTCCCCCCAGCCAGTTCGAGTGTGCGAACCATCTGTGTGTGAGCCAGGGCTGGGTGTGTGACGGCATCGACGACTGCGGGGACCGCTCAGACGAACAGCTCAGTTTGTGCTGTGAGAGTCATTTTGTTTAATTTTGTATTTCATCATCATTGATCCATTTAACCACGATACAGTTCCAACCTTAATCCAAACTAATGAACTTAATCTGGGGATTGAGAAAACATTAAGAGGATTTTAATGTTGTCTCAGACATTTTTTCTCTCTTCAGCTTTGTAACTGCTTCCCCCATTAAATCATCTTCATAATTAACTCAACTAAGATTAATAGCAGTTGTGTATTTTTATGTTGTATCCCCTCAGAGATTAGTCTCAACCCAGAATTGTGTTTGTTTGACCAGTGAACATCACCTGTGAGATGCCGTCCAGGTTCCGTTGTGCCAACGGCTATTGTGTCTACTCTGGCGTACTGTGCAACCAGAAGGACGACTGCGGAGACGGCAGCGACGAGAGCGAAGAAATCTGTACGAGCCTCACACACTCATCACGATCTGGCACGAATTGGTAGAACTTTGGTTCAAGCATAAAGTTGGTCTTGTATATAGAAAAAGAAGTGGAAGACAAACTGCAACACGAGGAAAGAAGCAGAAATGAAGACACAAGCACACGCACATATAAATATATATGTTGTGTGTAGTAACGTACAATAGATTTAGTTTATGTTTTCTCCCTTTTCGAACAAAGCATAATCAGATTTATTATATGTTTGGCTACAACTCGTGCTCCAGTAATCATCAGTTTCAGGGCTCACCAGGGATTAGTCAGAGCAACGCTAAAGCCTCAGTGAGGGACAGTGACACGGGGAATTCCGAAATGGCATCAGTGTCGCTACAGGACACAAATCCTGAAGCATACAAGGGCTGAGGAAATGGTCTGTTGTATGGAATTGTTACACAATCAGCTTAAACATCAATCAGCAAATAGAGAGGAGATTATATAGTTAAAATCAGAGCAGAGGTGGACATTGAAATCCATTTGTTTTCTAAGACAGAGCGGAGACGCCTTCAGGTGAATTAGTAATTCAGTGGATGTTATTCAGCACCTTGTCATTCACACCTTCTCTTTTATTGTTTATTTGACAGTTGGGGGTCGAAGAGCGAAACCGACAAATCTCTTAATTAAATCTTAGAATAGTGGAGGCGGACATGTTTCTACAACACATATATATATATATTACATATATAATATACCCACTCAACCTTCCCTGCATATTAGCGTTGATGACTCATTGTAATTGGGTCCCTCTCAGGCCGTGAGCCCACGCCACCGCCCTGCACGCTGGAAGAGTTCAAATGCACCAACGGAAACTGTGTGGCTCTGCAGTACGTGTGTGACCACAACGACAACTGTGGGGACCGCACCGATGAGTTAGGCTGCAGTAAGTAACGCAACAGAAAAACAAATTCACCAACCGGCAATATTCTGTGTTTAATGAAGTTTTAATTTTAAAAAGTCTGATTTTAAATTGTTGAAAGACTGTGAATCATTTTGAGTAACTAAAATTTAACTGTACAGATATCCCCTTTAATGGGATCTTGTTTTCCAAAGCTCAGATTTACAAGATTCTGTTTATTTCTAAACCATTTTCGTTTAATGCCACTTTGTAGGTGAACAGAAATATATTGTTTTTTACTTCTGGTTTTATGACGACACACTGAAGCAAATCATTTGGGGCAGATTATTAGATTATGCTCAGTGGGTGAATAATTCTGTCCGTGTAAACACAGTAAGCAGGTCTTAAATGTGGCTCCAGACAGAGACGGGTTTAAATGTGTTGTCTGGCTTCAGATTTTGGCCACGATCGTAACTGTGAGGAGAAACTGTGCCAGCACGAGTGCACCAACCTGAACGGCACCGGCTTCATCTGCTCCTGCCGACCTGGATACAGAGTGGACCCTGACAGCACCTACACCTGCCTGGGTACACACACACACACACACACACAAACACAACATTATTCCAGTTAAAGATCCGTTGGGCAAAACTGTGGAGCCACGTCAGTCAGATCTGCAGAGGAGGACAAACATAACCAGAGGTTTCCTTTTCTCTTTCAGACATCAATGAATGTGAGGTGTATGGCACCTGTCCTCAGATCTGCAAGAACACCAAAGGTGGCTACGACTGTGAGTGTGCGCCCGGATACAGGAGAGTCGGCAACGGCAACATGTGCGAGGCTGAAGGTGAGAAAAATGCTAACTGAGTCCAAGTAGACGGCTGTATGTGTATATATCTAGACTATGAGATCATGACTTCAGTTCTCACTTGATTTATAAGGTCACCAAACATTTTCCGAAGGAGTTTATGTTCCCATGCTCTAGTTTCAAGTCACTACAACATGTGTGATAGTCTTTTTGTCGATTATGGTCCCAGTCAAAGTTTTGGAACTGCAGCTCACAACCCAGTGGGTGACGTCACAGTGGGTTGCCACTTGATAATATATACACGTCTGTTCCTTTCAGGAGCGACTCCCCTGCTGCTTCTACCGGAGAACATTCGTATCCGGAGGTTCAACCTGCAGACGGAGGCCTACCACGACTTCCTCCAAGAGGAGGAGCGGATCATGGCTCTGGACTACGACTGGGACCACAACAACACTGGACTCAGTGAGACGCACACAGACTGATATCAGTTAACAACAAAGGCCCTTAGTTTGAAACACACTTGTAATGGATCATAAATCTTGTTTGTCAGGTGTGGTTTACTTCACGGTGGCCAGTAAGGACTCTGTGGCAGGAGCCATCAGGAGAGCGTACATCCCTTCAGTGGATGATGGCAGTAACAACATCGGTGCTGCCGTCGACCTCGGCATCAAATACATCACCAGACCAGATGGCATCGCCGTGGACTGGGTGGGCAGGTTCGTTTTGCACGGACCCGACTGAAGTAGATTCACTTCTCTGGTCAAAATGCAGCTTCTTAAGAGAGACCCGTGTTTTTTTTTTCTCATGATAGGAACCTTTACTGGGCAGACTCCAGGTTGAAGCGGTTGGAGGTGGCCATGTTGGATGGACGCTACAGGAAGCACCTTGTGAAAACTGAATTAGGTCACCCATCTGCTGTGGCTGTCAACCCACGACTGGGGTAAGATGGACCAAGCATCCACTCCCGACTTTAAGGTTTAACAGTTTCACACATCTACACTGAAAAATTACATATCTTGTTGAATTTCATGGAAATCCGTTCAACCTATTGTTGAGTTTTCTGATCTAAAGACATTCTGTGACATTTATATTTTTCTCCTCCCATGTAAATTCTACATTACATCAGATGTAACTGAGCATCTAGCTGCAATGATCCTCGACTGTATATCCCTTGTAGACTGTTCTACTGTAACTGCTGCCGTGTTTCCACAGGATGTTGTACTGGGCAGACCGCGGGGAAGCAGCCAAGATTGAGTGCTGCTGGCTGGACGGACAGGAGAGGAAAGTCCTGGTGGCAGACGGCCTGGGTTGGCCCACTGGACTGTCAATTGACTTCACCAACGGCGACAGAATCTACTGGTCCGACTCCAAGGAAAGCCACATCGAGTCGGTTCTGCCGTCAGGGGAGGACCGTAGAACGGCTGTTTACATAGGTGAGGGTTAGAAAGACGCCTGAGGTGAGATGATGAGAGTGAGACTGTGAGTGATGCATGATCTGTTAAGAGGAGAAACAAAGTGAAGAGGTAATGTAGATTCTTTTTCCATGTGGGATTCCGTTCACCGAGCTTCCTGTTGTCCCCTGTGTAGATGTGAGGAACCCCTTCAGTGTGAACGTGTTTGAGGACCATGTTTACTGGAGCACGCAGGAGAAAGGCGAGGTGTTCCGACAGGACAAGTTTGGCCGCGGAGCAAAGACCAAGCTGCTCACTGCTGGACCCTGGCTGACCCAGGTCTCTGTGTACCAGCAGCAGAGATACAACTCCATAGGCAGTAAGCTCTCCCACAGCACAGTATTTACACAAACTGCTCTGTATTACATTAATGTACATATGGTGCTTCTCTCGCTCATATGTCACCCTGATTAAATCCTCTTTGCATTTGGTTTTTTTCTCTGGATTACTAATTTGTCCATCTGGAAATTAATAATCATCTCTCTGACTGCTGAGCGTTAAATATATATATATAATGTTTGTTGCATTTTTCTTTTCTCTACAGTGAAGAATCCATGTAAGGGAACCTGCAGCCACCTGTGTTTGCTGCGACCGGGAGGTTACACGTGTGCCTGCCCCGAGGGAACCATCTTCATCCCCGGCAGTAACACCGAATGTGATGCTGGTAAAAAAACAAACAAACAAAAAAAACCATTCCTTCTTTTCTGAAATTGTCATAAAAACATGGGGTCAAACTATTCAATCACATGAAAACTTTCAGGATTTGATCCACCACCTACCATGCCTCCGCCATGTCAGTGTCAAAATGGAGGCACCTGCTACTTTGATGACAACAAGGCTCTCTGCAAGTAAGAGTGTTTTTTGCTTTTGGTCTGATTCACCAGAGATTTGAAATTAAGACATAACCGTGACTGTTTGTATTTTAAATGACAGATGTCCTCCAGACTGGGGAGGAGAATACTGTCAGACAAACATATACGACGTGGTCGCGTCCACAAGTATGTTTGATTTTACAGCCACAAATACAACAAATATCACATGAAGTCGTTTAGTAACTGGTAAACTTCATCTGATCCTTGTTCCTCTGTCTCAGTTGGAATAGCCATCGGGGTGACAGTCGTGATTGTGCTTCTGCTCGTTGCTCTGGTCTACGCTTCCAGGAAGAAATCCAACCTGCTGGAGAGCCTGCGGAGCAACTTGCCCTCCATGCCCAGTATGCCCTCTTTTCCAAACCTGGCCAACTTCAGGTGAGATGGAGCCAGAAGAGGAGAGACACGATAGATGGTTATTTATGGTTATTCCAGCCAGAAACGAAATATCTGATATCTTGTGACATATCAACTATAATATGTTGGTATGTTACAATAATCTGTTAATAATCTGGGTCAGTGACGGACTGTGTGTGTGTTGATGATTTTCAGGAACGGTGCGAATCGAAATGCAGCGACAACGGAGGACAGTGAAACAATGATGAATTCAAAGGTGGCCGGCAGCACAACGACCATTCAGGTCAAACCATTTCATCAACTGGCCGTGATACACTCTCATTGAAGCACTGTGTAATGTAATCTTTATTGAGTGACCTTTATTAAGTCCTTTACGTAGTTATTTATTTGTTGTTCTCTGACGACAGGTTCCTTCTATGTCCATGTTGGACACGGAGCAGAACAATTTTGAGAACCCGGCGTACGAAGCTGGAGAAGCAGTCGCCTCCAGCAGCAGAGGGACGGTCTCCTCCGCTCCTGGTGGAACAAACAAGGTCTATAAATAGAAATTACTCTCGGCCGCATTTCGCTGCTACGTTGATACTTTCGATATAAACTCCCTGAACTCTTTGTGCCTGATGTAATGTGTTTTATCATGTCACTGAAGAAGAAGTTTATTATCTTGACGTATTTAGGTTTGTTGAGTCTTGTGTTTCCTTCCTCAGGGGAACATTGAAAATCCGTTGTTTATGGAAGACGTTCATATTGTGAATGAGCCCAAGAGGACTGCAAGCAAACCTGCTGTTGACGGAAAGGTTTGTTGTTTCATACAGATATAATGTTTTCAGAGGCACATGCGTGCAGGCTTGATTTCCCCCTGCAGCGGCCACAGGTTCGATTCCGGACCTAGCCCTTTGCTGCATGTCTTCCCCGCTCTCACTCCTCCTTTCGTCCTTAGCTCTACCCTGTCAAATGAAAATATTTAAATAATGTCTTTCACATCTCACAACTCAAGGCTTTTGATTCTGAGATATTAAACCACGTTGAAGAAAATGCAGAGGATATAAAATCGTATTTGACAAAAATCCCTTCTTCTTCTTTGTGTCCATTTCAGGAGACGTTTGAGAACCCAGCATACGGCTCACAGAAAGGTGATGTTGACGTCAGGTCTGCACAACCTGCAGCTTCAAGTGTACAGGTAACCATGGATACATTATCACATGCCCTGAATATTCACAATATGCAAGTAAAGGTCTGAAGTTAAATATCTAATTTCTTCTTTTCCCCGCAGTTTGACTTGACTGGAGAAGACAGTTTTGTGTCTTTCAGAAATCCCACGTACGCGGTGAGTACAGAGCGACAATGAGAAAAAAGAGTGAGGAGGTGAACAGGCGGCTGAAAGTGTCTCTGAACACTGTCTGTTGTTCTCGATTTCAAAGTGTTTGAGCTTTGTACAACATGAAAGTCACAAAGTCTTTGAGGCGATTCACAGCTTTCAGGGATCGTTTTGTACGTTATGGAAAATTTCAGGTCAGGAACATGACAGGTCAGGACAGACTTTAACTGATCAAGATAGAAAGATATCTTCCCACCTATGGCCTGAATATACATTGCACAATGTAGTTATATATATATGCATATCCTATTTGATACATCTAGAATTATCATTTTTTAATACTGTTTATTGTCATGAATTATAAATATAAGGCAGGAGTGATTTCCTGAGTCTGTGTCTGAAGGTTTCTCCTGCTTTACGCAGGACATGTGTGAGGCCTTGTTCATTAATGTCTGTAGTTTTCTCTCCTCTGCCACTTCCTCCACCCACAGACCAGGTCAGTCCACGTCATCATGTTTTTATTAATCACTGTGATCTCCCAACAGGAACAAACACGAGCCATCGCTCCTGACTATGACGTTTGACGTCACATCTTCATCAGAGATTAGACTGGACCACGTTTTCAAGACTGAAACCTCATTGTTTAAATAAATCGGTTCGACCATCCACACATTTCAAACGCTGACAGACCTGGAACAACTCAGACAAGATTGTTTGTAAAAGAAAAATGTATTTTGTATCAAATTCGAACTTGACTTTGATTTCAGTGGAGTTGTTAGTGTAAAAAAGACCAAATCATATAAATGATCTTAATGTGACTAATATGAGTCACTTATTCCTTCGCCAAGGCCCAACGGACAACAGATAAAATATTTTCTATTTCGATCTGCACCAAATGGCATAAATATCACTCCCCTAAATAAGACTGATTCCTTTTCACCAAAATCTTTGAATTATTCTTTGAGAAAGGAAAATGTTAAAAAAATCTACAGTGTTAAAGAAAAATATTGATCTGGAGCCTCACCAAAATTGAATGGCTTCTTCTTCGAGTCATGTCAAACACCTAAAACTAAATTCCATGGAAATCAGTTGTGTGTTTTTTGTGTAATCCTGCTAACAAACAGACAAACGCAGATTTAAACAGGACCTCCTTGGCGGAGGTGAGAAGTGACTGAAAACTTGTACATGCTGTATCTATGATTAACTTTGTTTTGTATCTTTTTCTGAATTCTGATTGATGTTAGTTTGAATATTAAAACTGCCACTATCATCACTGCGTGTGTGTGTTTTTGTTGAGTGACAGTATAATGACGGACTGTAAATGTAATGACATTTGACTCTAAAGTTCCAGATTTTGTGCCCTTTGGATCAGATTAAGCTCCTGAGGAAGAACACTTCATTTGATTAAATGAACATCCGAGCTTTCTGCTGTGACGTGATGTCCGGCAGGTGCAAAACGTATCACAGGGAGTTGATCTGTCATCACGACGCTCCCACCGGTGTAATCCACTGAGAGGACCCTGATCCACTGAGCCGAGACCGAAGGCTTCTTCATCATCATCATCATGCATCTAATCACACAGAGACGCACTTGAAACCACGACGATGCTGCGTCTGAACACATCACCCTCTCTTTGAGGAAGGAACAACTAGGCCAGCCAACCAGGAGACAACAGAGAAGTGACGAGGAAAGCAAACAAGTGGCGGACAGACGTGGAAACAAGAGATAGAAAGCTGTGATCAGTTTGTTTCTGTGTTTGTGACTCACAGTTTTTATTACACTCAACGAGGCCTCTCATGACCATCAGCCAGAACATGCACTTCACCATCCCCTGACACACACACACACACACACACACACACACACACACACACACACACACACACACACACACACAGAGGGAGGAGGTGTAGAGGGATGGATGCATTTGAGAGGGGCGGGTCCAGGGGGCGTGCAGCCTGCAGCATGTGTGCTCACAGTGTGGCGTTCATTGACTGTCAGAAATCACAGAGATAATTAAACAATGGATTTCACACGATTCCTCAATGAATAGAAAATAATTAGTTCATTGGGAATCCTTAATTTAAGACCGAAATTTAATCCTGGACTTTTAGTTTGTAGTGAGATGAGTTAGTTGTATTTGGTTGAATGACAAGGAAATATTAGAAATGGCGTGTTTATAATATTCACAGACCAGAGCTGGATTAACCTCGTGCATGGATGGATGGTGTGAAGTGATGAATGAAGTCCTCTTGAATAATTGTTTTAAGAAATTCCTGATTTGAGGTTCTAACACTTGATAAAACTGTGATAATATAATTCTTAATAAATCATTTATTTGCCTTTTCCAGAGCTTTTGACTGTATCCCACAGCCAATGAATGCAACTCTTATTTGTCTTCATAGGCCTCAGGTGTGGATGTTTTTGGTCCCTGTTATTATATATAAACCACAAACGTGCGAACGGTAATAAAGCAAATTCAGTGGGATTTCTTCACTGCAAATAAACCAGGTAGGATGAACACACACATTAAAACAACAACAAAAACACAAAATTAAAAGATAACTAATCAAATCAGAAAGAACAGTTTGAAACAAATTCAAGCAAAACCAGATTCAGAAGAACTGAGGCGGGGAAAAGATAAAAAAATGGACAAATCTGTATGAAAAAGTAAAAATGGGTTGAAGGAGAAAAATAGTACTAACAAAACATATAGAACTGTGTATAATAAAATAAATTAAAAATAGAATAAAATACAACGATTTTATGACTTTGTAAAATCGCTTTGTTAGAGGTACCTGTGTGAATTAAAAAGTCCAGTTTTACGAGCAGCGCTTGAAGGCAGCACGGAGGGAGCGAAAGAGAGAGAAAGGGGGAGAGAGCTGACTGACAGAGGGGGAAGGGGAGGTCCATTGAGCGATAGATAGATAAATAAATAGATAGATGAACAGATAGATGGATAAATAGACTGGACTGAGCGGAGGAGTGAAAGCTGGTGTTTGACAGCTGGAGACAGAGAAAAGAAGAGAGGAGAGAAAAGAGGAGAGAGAGGAGGAGGAGGAGAGAGGAGGAGGGTTGAGTGTCTGGTCTGGAGACAACAGAGGGAAACACAAGAGGAGCCTCCACAAGGTGAGGATGTTTCCTTCTGTGTGTGTGTGTGTGTGTGTGTGTGTGTGTGTGTGTGTGTGTGTGTGTGTGTGTGTGTGTGTTTACTCTCATCTGGACACATCAGCCTTGTGCAGGGATCCACGTGTTTCTCAGGCTTTTTGTTTCCACGTGTGTTGAACCCATGTGGATCACTGACATGTTAATGAAGGTTTGCATGTGACCAACAATAACACAACATGTTACTGTGACAGAGGAGGAGGATGCATGTTGCAGACTGTGTGGGTTTAAATCACCATTAAATGTGGTAAATAAAAGGGGGATGTGTGATTTGGAAGTGAAGCCACATTCTGTTTTCTTCATTCTCGCACAATTCAAATCTAAATTAAATCTCATGGTCACACAGACGAACTTCTAACGTTTGGTCGACACGAGACTAAACAGAAAATCCTCAATTTGGGATCAGAACAACAACAATTGGTGGATCAACAGGAAACTTTGTTTGTCAATCACAAGTTAAACTAGAAGAAATATGCTTTTGCCTGAGTTTGTCTGTCTGTCTGTTAGTTCGCTGGATTACATGTAAACTACTGGACATATCACCAGGAAACTGTAGTGGAAGGAAGAACCAGACTTGTTCTGTTTTGTGCAGAACTCCACGTGTTTCCCAGGCATTTTGTTTCCGTGTGACTGAGCTGCATGTTAATGACATAGAGGAGGAGGATGCGTGTGGTTGTGCATCATCTTCTAGACTGTGTGGGCTCATTAAGTGATGAATAAAGGTTGTAAATAAAAAGGGGGACGCTGATCGTGAACACAGCTCGGTGTCTGGTGACCTCAGTGAGAGGTGGGTTGACAGGACAGGCCTGCAGCCATGGCTCGGTCACGCCTCGCTGCAGGACAGCACAGGCTCTGTGTTACGGCTCCATGGCTCCGAGGAGGAGCGGCAGAGTCAAACAGATTCAGTCAAGGTCAGAGTCACGCACCGTAGTTTAAGTAAACAAAGACTCGAGGGATAATGTGTGTTTTTAACCCAGTCAGAAGACACAGGGACACTAGAGACAGTTTTTAGTAACATGTTGCTTTAAAGATTGACTTCTGTGAGTGAAACAGATGCAGTGATTGGGAAGAGGACCTTGTTTGTGGGCAGGTGGTTTGTAGTTAGTTCTTAAAGCTGTTGGCATGATGCAAGATGCAAAATGACAGCAGAGACATGCAAAGAGACAGCAGAGACATGCAAAGAGACAGCAGGAAGATGCAAAGGGACAGAAGAGAGATGCAAAGAGACAGAAGAAAGATGCAACGAAAAATGCAGAGGGATGTAATAAGACTCATAAAGGATGCAGAGAGGCAACATACTACCTCAAAAGAGATGCTGTATGACCTACAAGAAAGTAAAAGCAACCACCTGAATGAAACATGACAACACAGAGACAATAACAGACGATAAAGAGATGGAAACAACATTAAAGAGACGTTAACAGACCGTGAAGAAACACAAAACTACATGAAGTGGAACAAAATGTCTTCAAGCAGAGAAGTAGCCGTAAAACGGAACCATGAAGACTCTGTCTCATCGGTTGTTGTCTCTGTCTCCTTCAGTCCGGGTGTCTTGCTCTCATCGAGTGGGCGTGTTTTTGTTTATTTGTCTCATAATCCATCCACGCCATGTCCCCTCCTCCTCCCTGCGGCTCGGTGCATTTCCTCCGACTGTGGACTCAGTGGGAGTTCACATCAGTAAAAGTTTGGCTGTGGACCAGACACAATGGTTTTTTTATCAGCCAACACGTCCACGTCCTCCTCTGACCCCTATGAACATATTTGCCTGCTGAAAATCTTGTGGAGAGACGTTTGTTTGTCTGATCGTTCGTTTGTCTGATCGTTCGTTTGTCTGATCGTTTGTTTGTCTGATCGTTTGTTGGATCAAACAAAAACTACTGGATAACAGATTAGCATGAAACGTAGATTAGGTAGAAGGATGTATATGGATTGAGGGGTGGAACCTTTTTTTTACTTTACCAGAGACAGATTGTTTTCAACATTTTCTCTGTGAATAATTCATGGATCTTGATGAAAGATTTTAAGTGGTTTGGTATTTATGAGTGTGTGTTTCCAAATGAAAACTGGATGTAGTGAATTTAAATGTGGTTTCATGAGGACACTGGTTCTGGTCGGAGGTTTGTCTGGACATTCTAGTTTTAATCTGACTGTTTGTTGAGCAAAAAACTTAAACCATCCTATTTGAAATGCAGACGTGCTGCAGTTTATAATACTCACAGTAAAGAGAAGAGAAAGTATTTGACTTTTGGATTGAGGGACATAAATCTTTTGTGGAGTTGCTCCAGGATTAGATTGTAATTCTGCGGCAAAATGTACAGCAGGCAATTTTTTTTTTTTTTTTTCATGCGGATATTGGAATGAAATCTGTCATATCCAAACATGTCAGATCAGCCATGTGGGTGGCAACACACACACACACACACACACACACACACACACACACACATACATACCCGCAGAGTGGTGGGCAGATGGCATCAGCAGCGTGAAGGCGACCTCACCCCTCTCAGTCCTCCCCTCGGGACCTGTCCAACAACAAATAGAGTCAGGCAAACAGGTGCGTGTGTGAGAGTGTGTGTGTGTGTGTGTGTGTGTGTGTGTGTGTGTGTGAGGTGCGTGCACAGCGACATTAGGTTCGTGCTTGACTGTAGCTCGTGTCAGTGGCGGGTTTAGATGAATGATTTTGTCACGATCCTCAGGTGATGGGAGAATAAAGAGTCAGAGTGAGAGACGTTGTTGTATACATCGTTGTGTATTATAATTAATTTGGGGAAGAGTAACTGCAAATAAGTTAAGAAGATGTCTGGACTTCAAGATGTCTGAATATTCCCCCGACAGTTAGAAAGTTTAATTACATTTATTAATTGAATGGTTTAGAGAAAGAAATCACGTCAGAGAAGCCGGAACCTTCACATATTTCATTATTTTATAGATTACTTAACACAATGAATCAGTTATTCAAATTGTTCTTAATTGATTTTCAACAAACCATCTAATCATTTAATTGCTTTGGGCTTCATGGAGTTCTTCTTTCTAAAAATATCAGTCGTTTATAGAAGCGACACTGAAAAGACTTGAGCTACTTCTTTAGCTCAGCTCGATCGCTCTTCAGTCTCTCTTCTAATCCAGCCATCCTTTCTTATCTGCACCATTGTGTTCACTGAAATCCTCCGTGATGCACACAGCCGCGAGAAATGCCGTCTTAAATCAAGGGAGCCGCATAATACCACCATATGGCCGATGGGAACCTCAAGTATTCAGACCAAAGAGTCGCTGAGAGAGAGGGAGGGAGGGAGAGGGAGAGGGAGAGAGGGAGGGGGGAAACCAACCAGAAGGATGTTTAATCTGCGCTCAGCCTCTTGTGATTAGAGAGAGTGAGTCGGATGGAGGGCAGAGGAGATGGAGGGAAAGGTCAGGAACTTGGGCCAAGTGTGGAGAGAAGACCGTTGATTTATGGCAGGGAAACACTCGCAGAGGATGTTTGACACCAGAAATGCTTGAACAGAGTTTTCTCCGGTCATGTGAGGCTGCAGAAAATTCCCTTTGATTATTCTCTCCCCAACATACATAGAGCCTCTATATTCATTCAGTCGTATACTAGAGATGTTCTAACACCCAGATTTTGCTTTTGATACTGAAGTCAAATTGTAACGCTACAAAACCGGAAATGACTTCTTCTTTGCTGCTTTAAAAATGGGGGCAATACAGTGCAGATGCTGTTTAAGAGAGGTGGAGTGGAAGTGATTTCTGGGAAAAAGAATTTGCTTTTGAAGTAATTTCTTCTGTGAACTTGAAAGATTTGATCCAACGGCAGCAGTCCCACATCCTGGTCACGTTTCACACTGAGGTTCGTGGTCGTTCCACTGACAGAGAAACAAACGTGTGTTCAGTTGTCGCTGTATAAACCAGTTTGGCAGAGTGTGTGTCTGTTAATGTGCAGAATGGATTTTTTTTTTTACGTCCTGATGGCGGAGCAGCATTAGACCGAATCAATCTGGGGGAATTATGATCAATGCCTGATTGAGGGTCGCTCACAGGGAGAGGTCAAAGGTCGTGTCACGCTCCGGCAGTGATCGCACAAAGACAAGATGTGTGATTACAAACCACTGGTGTTTTTCACCGGTTGGACATTTTTGGAACATTTGTTTTCAGGTTATGCTTCTTGTTTTTCTTGTTTTTTTTGCATTTAAGTGGGAGCTTTGAAACGGGACCTAATCACGTTGCTGTCTTCAAATGCAGCGTCCCGGGGATGTAAAGATGGACGACATGTATTGTCCATTTAACGGGCAGCCTGAGCTCTTTTTGATTGACGAGCTCTCCTCTGTGGAGCTATGCAGTGAAGGTCTGGATACAGTAGTAAAAAAAACAAGGCCCCCCCTGACTGTGCTGTTTAACTAATGCTGGAGTGTTCTGGACCTTTGACTGGATTTAATCGTGGATTTCAAACAACCTTAATCCGGCTCTGCTGCGTGTACCTCGATAGAGTTAATGCTGTTTTACTGGTAAAATTGGATTTGATGAATAACTGCTCTCATGAATGCCCCTCAGCCTGCAGATGAGTGTGCACGATCAAACCCACACACACAGGACAACCTACAGTAGTCGGACAGTTATAATATCAGTGTTTCCTTTAACGACACACGGTAATGTAATGCTGGGATTTAATTGAAATGAAGTGAAGCCACACGCTTCGACGTGACACAACAACACCACTCTAATGAAATGCATCTTCAGCGAGACTCTTGAATTGTACACAAAAGGAAGGCTTTACTACCGCTATGACGTTGCCATGGCGACAGTCGATCTGAAGGATGCTATCGGAGGAAAACTGGTCAGTCTCCGTCTCCTCTCGTCTGATTGTTGCTCAGTATGAACTGAAATTAATGCCTCAAGACTCAGTAATGAGAGCAGCTATTAATTATTCTATCAGCGCAGTAATGGGTTGATTCATCACTGTCAGGTTGTGGCTGGCCGGATGCTCTCTTTGAAAATGTATTTACATTTTATATTAATTTGAAAGGAGGAATGATTAAAGGAGATGGGGGTTTTTTTGTCACCTCTAGTTTGTCTTACAGGTTTCTTCTCTTTATTAGAATCACTAGAGATCAGATTTCTCCTCTTTCCACTCGTCAGTGTGGAAATTATTTGTATCATCTAAAAACACATTCCTAAAATGCGTAAAATCTAAATTCTGAAAACAATCAGCAGATCTAAGCCTTTTCCCTAATGTGGGTCTTTTCTCTCTACCCACAGTTGTGCTGGTGATTTTCCTCAGAGGCCAACGAGAGAAGAGGAGAGAGTTTGTTTTTCCTCCCCCCCCGTTCTCCCCCCTCTGCACCCTCCTCTGAATGATTGAAGCCATGCCCATCGTGTCTGCAAGCACAGGTACCTCCAACCATATGCTCAAACTACTCGTTCATTCTCTCTGATCCTTTATGCTCACTTATAAATCCTGCGCATGCTATAATGTCAAACATGCATCACTGGAGTTTAGATAGTATTTCAAGAATGACTCCCGGTGTATATGATTGATTATGATATATATGACTGCAGGGCTGCATGAGACCCTGGCCCTGCTCACCTCTCAGCTCCACCCAGATGCCAAACACAAAGAGGACCTCGTCTTCCTCAAAGACGTCTTCAGTGAGAAAAGCCTCGGTTACCTCATGACGGTAAAGCAGAAATACTGTATCTGAGGAAATGGGAATTTTGACATTTGTGGTATTTGTGATTTCTTGTTCAACTTTAGCAACAAAGAAAGTAGAGCGTGTGTGTGTGTGTGTGTGTTTGTGCACATCTGCCTGGACGTTGCTGATGTTTGTTGCTCCGTCACAGATCCATGAAAAACTGAAGCTGTATGAGAAACAGAACCCCACTCCAGTCCTGCACAGCGCCTCCTGTCTGGCAGAGGACGTAGGTGCAATCTGAACTAAATCTGGACATTGAATAATATTTTGATGAAATACTAATACACATTTCTAAAGTAAATTAAACTCATGAGTTGTGGTTGTTTTGTCATCAGCTGGCTGAGGAGCTTCAGAACGGAGCCCTGGAGGACGACGAGAGAGAGCTGCTTCTCCTGCTGAGCACTCCTCACCTCAAGGTACAGAGCTCGACAGTTTCTCTTTCAGCCATGACTCTCTTTCCCTCTGAGGCTCGATATCTTTAATGCCATCCCCTCTTACCCCCGTCACCCTGAGTTGCCCTGATTTTGCTCTAAGTTGATGATCTTGTCAAGTGATCATGTTCAAGTTTTTGTCTCTTTGGTTTATCGTTATTTTCTTCTCTCTTTCCTTGTAAGCATCGTCTTTCAGGTTGTTTTTCTTTTTAAATACCTTTGCATGTGATTGGGTTGTTCATGCAGGCCGTGCTGTCAGCCCACGACACGGTGGCCCAGAAGAACTTTGACCCGGTGCTGCCGCCGCTGCCGGAGGATCTGGATGACGACCTGGAGGAGGAGTCTGTGAAGATCGTTCGGCTGGTGAAGAACAAGGAGCCTCTGGTAACATGACAACATCAGAGTTCTTCCAAATCCTCCACATAGACATAGATATACAGTAACTGTGTCTGATTATTTTTTAAAGCATGATCCATTAGTCATACCACATCTGGATGGAGGTTATTAAAAACCTAATGGAAAAATGAAACATCTAAAATGACAGAAAACACTACAGTACTTTGACTTTAACAGGGTATTGACTTTTCCAGCCACCTTTCACTGGTCTGTCCGAGGGTTGTGTCGACGCAGTGGACTGAAGATTAGATCTGTGTTTGGAAATCTGATATGTCGTCTTTTCTACCAGGGAGCGACGATCCGGAGAGACGACGCGACGGGAGCCGTGATCGTGGCCAGAATCATGAGGGGCGGAGCAGCCGACCGCAGCGGTGAGGCGATCGACGCCGTCAAATATGACAACTCAAATGTCAGACACTCAAATGTCAGATGTGTTCGTCGTTTGTTGTCTCTGAATACAAATGTAAATAAGGGCCTGACTGCAAAGTGCCATAAGAAAATAATCACACTCCTGCTGTATGTGTTAAACTCTTTACCACCACTCACACCCTGACAGAGAAGTGGGGGGGATTACTTTGTGTAACTGCAGGAACTGTCAAAAGAGATCAACTCCTTGAGATTAGAGCCACGAGATTAAATATCTTGAGATTACAAACAAAGGTTGCTCCTCTGTGTTGCCATGGAGATGCTATCGATTTCATGCCAACTGAATATTTGTCCTTTTTTGTTCATATCTAAGCCTCATCTTTAAAAATAACTCCGAGCGGCACTAAACCCCGGGATTCTCCTTTTGTTTGGCGGGCGGGCGTCGTGTTTGTGTTTCCAGGTCTCGTGCACGTCGGGGATGAGCTTCGCGAGGTCAACGGAAACCTGATAACCCACAAGAGGCCGGAGGAAATAAGTCAGATTCTGGTAAAAGATGAAAATAAACTTTTCCATGTAGCGTCACACTAGTTCGGAGACTCTGATTATTTCTGTGGATGACGGAGCTGCTCTGATGTTTTCCACCAGTCCCAGTCACAAGGCTCCATCACGCTCAAAATCATCCCAGCTGTTGCAGAGGAAGACAAACTGAAGGAAAGCAGGGTGAGGACTTTCTGACTCAATATATATACTATTTGATGTGCACTCTGAATTTTTGGTTCGGTCCATGTCCCATCTGCTAACATGGAGGAGGCTGGGTTTATGCCACCCACCAGGGGGCATTTAAGATGATTTGGATTCACTTTTTAAGGAGCTGTCATGTGGTTAAAAAGTTTAAAATGTCACACTGCCCCCTGCAGGTCTACCTTCGGGCTTTGTTTGACTACACTCCCTTCGAGGACAGGGCCACACCCTGTCAAGAGGCAGGACTTCCTTTTCAGAGAGGAGACATTCTTCAGGTGGTGAGCCACGAGGACGCCACCTGGTGGCAGGCCAAGAGAGTGGGCGACTGTAACCTGCGTGCCGCCCTCATCCCCTCCACACAGTTCCAGGAGAGGTAGCCTTCGTCAGATCATCTGTCCAATAAATAACTCCTCACCTTTTATTAGATCAGTAATGATTTTTTTCTTCTTCTTCTCAGGCGTCTCAGATACAGAATGAAAATGGGTTCCTTTCCTTCTCCTGTGTCCCTGAAGCCTCCCACATGTGAGCCTTACTTCACCCCTCCGATCACGATTAACCCTCCTAACCTTACATGTTCGAGAAGCTTAGATCCACAGATACAGCTTGTAATGCAGGTCACATCTAATCTAAGTAAGGAGACACAGAGAGAGAGATTATGTAAAGAGAACAGAGGATCTGAGGTTAATCTCAGAAAAAAAAACTAAATCCATCATTTCAAACCTTAATCCAATTTAAAAAACGTAAAATGAAACAAAGTGGTTCTGAAAAAACGACGGATGGTGGTGACGTCCAAGTTCTTTTCTTGTGTCTTTAACTTTCACAAAAAGCTTGAAGAAGAAGTGCTGCTGTCTAACGTTTGCATTTCATTCACTCGAGAGAAATAATCTGCATGTAATTCTGAAACAATATTATTATTGTGTCCGAATTCTGAGAAAAAAGTTTGACGAAAAATAATTCCACTCTAGATTTTATCTCAAAATTCCAGGAGAAGCTCTCAAGTAGCTTTGAAGCAAATATTTCCCGTCTTTGTAGTTTGATCCAGTTTTATTTAGTTTTGTTGAGACAGTGGGAGACACTTTGAATTTGAGACTGTGCACTTTAATAATCATGAAGCACATTGGCTGTAATGTTCTGTGACACTGTGTGTTGTTCCTTGCATTGCTGCCCTCAGATGATCGAACTGAGAGAGGTACGTAAACGATACGTCTCTGGACATTTTCAGGACATTTTACGAGGTGGCTGGTAGGAAAGGTTCCCTGAAAATGTCTGGAGCAAAATGACTCTGAAACGTTCCCACGTACAGCCCCTCTGGAAAATATCATGGAAACGTTCTGGAGCTCAGTGCATGTGAGAAAGCAGCTGGAGACAGAGGACACATCTTCCCCTGACAGTTAAAAACCTTATAATTGCATGATACAAAGAAAATCTGCATCTCGTCAATCTGAGTCTAACCCTGCTGTGTCCTGACATGAAAGTTTCCTCCTCGTGGATCTTAACCTGTCTTCTCTTCCTGCTTGCCGTCCCACAGAAGACTGTGACAGTGAGGGGGCTCTCAATGGAAAGGACATAGGTGAGGAGGCACCACCAGTGAGTTTATTCTGATCACTGCCACATCGCATCTGTGTGCTCACCCATCCCTTCTTTCAGAAGCTGCAAACCATTCCTGAGGTGTTGTCGTTTGCTTTGTTAACAACGTCCAACATGACACAAGAGAATGTTCACCGCAGCTGATCTGATCCACTGTTGTCCTCACAGCCCAGCTCCAATCTGAGCAGTTTGTTCATCATCAGGCTTAAAGTGACTGGAAACCACTGCCACAGCCATTTTAACCTCTACGTCATCTTTGCATCATTTATTTTCAATCGTGCAGATTGAATCTGATGAACAGCTTCACTTCAGATCCACTCGTCTTTCAGATTCATATTGTTCAGTTCAGTTTGTTTATATTTTTAAATGGCTGCGTTCAGTGGCAGGTCCAGGATCAGGGGTCGTAAAGGGGCTACAGAGGTTCCAGTTATATGACCAGCGTCCGTGCACAATCCCTAATTCAATAAAGTGCACATTAGAGTTATTCCTTGTTCAGTGTTAGCGCTTAAGCTTCGAGCGAAGCCAGACAGAGCTTGAATTACTGTGGTTCTAATTAATTAATTTGACGACACACAAGCTCCAAAAAGTCACAACAAGAAACGCACTGCAGATTTTTAAAACAACAACGGAGCCGTTTCCAGGGAACCCACACTTTGTGAGGTTCCATCACCACTGACGAGAAGCAGACTCCACAAAGTTGTTTTCTTGATTTGCAGTGTTGAGCTCTCTCGTACTATTGTCACAAGGAACCTCAACACGACGCTAAATCCACCGAGCTGCTCACAGTGTCACGACATCTCATCTACCTCATCGCGCTCTTCTTCACGCTGCGTGCTCAAGGTGCTTCGCTTGTGTGTGGTGAAGAGTCAGATGCAGCATGCATGGCTTCACGTCGTCTTTACAGAGGCTGGTTGAATAAATGGTCTAATGATAAAAGCTGTAGTTTCTCCCAAGAGTAAGGCAGCCCCTGCCTTCTGTGGCCATGCTTTCTCATGGGATTTTTACTCAGGTACTCTTACTGATTTCTTCTGGTGGTGTTCAGTGGCTGTGTGGTGATATATGTATGGCTCAGGATTTTAATTTTAATCAGGGAGAGTGACACGTTTCTTGATTTATTTTTCTGAATGTCAAGCGTTGTCAGTGTCTGTGTGACCTCTCAGACGAGAGTGTCCAGATGTTTGTCCCTCTCACCTCTGTGCGTGTTTGACCACAGCCAGTCTGCGCAGAAGCCTCCGCCTCAGGAAGGACCGTCATGGATCAGCCAGTGAAGCTCACACTCCAGACGCCAATCACGCCGACTTCCTGATTTATGAAGAAGTGACTCAATACCTGCCCCGCCCCGGTGACAGGCCGCGCCTTATAGTTCTGATAGGTGGGTCTGCTGTGGGTTACACTGAGGGAACATTGTTAATAAAGGAGAAATATTGTGTTTTTTAAGAAGTTGAAAAGCCCAAAGAAAAATAAAGAAACAAAGAAAACATAGAAAACACAGCTCCTGAAGCTCGTGAATGGCCGGAGTCAGAAATCATCATCATGATGTCAACTTCACAATGCTGATTCTGCCATTCTTAGCAAAATATTGGAGGTAGATGATTTAAAAAGGTGTTTAGAATATGCTTGATGTTACAGTCCCTGCTTATTCTGTTTGGAGTAGCTGCCTGTAACATCTTCAATTGATGATGAACAGAAAGAAAATGTAATTCGTCCAATCTGTAAACTGAAGTAGGACACTGCAAAACGCTTTGAGGTAGAACGTGTTCCAGGTAAAGTGACAGCAGAGGCGATGGAAACCTTTTCAACACAAATTAAATATCTCTCTACACATGACAGTTATACATATATTGTCAATGTGCTTGTTGGTATATTCCTGGCATGTGACCATACTATACAACTCTCTCCTGTTATACATCTGGTCACAGGTTCCCTGGGAGCTCGTCTCTCCGAACTCAAACAGAAGGTGATAGCTGAGAACCCTCGGCGCTACGGTTTGGCTGTGCCTCGTGAGTTTCCTCAGATTTCAGTTTCATATTTCCCCTTTGCCTGTATTCTTCCTGTGGCAACATCTGCACCAGACGCTGATCAAATGCGTGGAAATCATTACGATTCACATTAATCATGCTCTCAAACACACACGTTAAGTAATCCTCCTCCTCTCTCCCCCCCCCACGCTGTCCTCCTGCTGGCTGTGTTCGAACATGAGACACCACTCGAGCCAGGAAGGGTCACGAGAGAGAAGGAGTGGAGTACCACTTCATTTCTAAAGCTGCGTTCGAGGCCGACATCCAGAACGGCAAGTAAGTATCAGACACTGAATAAAAAATAAAACAAGTTGTTTGTTTTGTAGATTCTACAATTAAGCTGCTCAAGAAGAAAGAGATTTACTGAAGCCCTCCAGAATGTACAGTTACTTGTTGTTACCAGATTGCTCTTTATTTTCTTTCTTTTGATTCGTGTTTCTGCAGGTTCATTGAATACGGGGAGTATAAAGATAATTGGTACGGCACCAGTTTGGAGTCCATCCATAGAGTTTTGGATCAAAACAAAGTCTGTCTGGTGGACGTGCAACCAGAGGTTAGGCTCAACTTTCTACACTTTAACAGCTGCAGTTTGTAAGACTTGTCTGGTACTGGAGAGTGTATAAATATACAGAGTGTGGAGTGCTGAGAGATGTTTTAATGTGTTACTAAGAATTCATCCCACAATGCAACACTTTTAGTTTACTGTGAACTAAAGTTTGCATTCAACACCGTCATTGTTAAATTTTATTGGCTTTTCTATTCCACCTCTGGAATCAATATAAATAAAGTAAATAAAGATGGACGGACATGAAAGCTCCTCAAAAGTGAAGCCAAAGCATTAACCCAGCTTCCTGCATGTGAGCCAACGGGACATGGACCAAACTAAAAAGTCAAGTAAATGCCAGCGATATAAAATGATTGACAAGCTGAGACTGACTTGCGATTGGTCGAGCGAGTTTATCAGCGGGGCCTTGATACCACAGCTGCAGCCTATCATGGCTCCAGAGCCGACTCCGGCTCCAAATGCAAATCTATGATGACATATTATGGCTTCATTTCTAGATATTGGGAGGAAGTGGGGACGTGTTGTTCATCTTTGTTTAGTCTGGATAGAATGTACAGCCAATGTTTAAAGTTGTAATGTTAAATATGGTTATAAAGCTGAAAGGAGACTTCATGTGCAACAAAAGCAGACTGGTTTCTCATAATCTAAACTCGATGCGTGTTTGTTTTCCCCCCTCACGTCCAGGCGCTGAAGACTCTTCGTGCTGCTGACTTCAAACCGTACGTCATCTTTGTGCGACCTCGCGTCTACGACAGTCAAAGGAAACCGCTCGGCTCCTGTTCCTCCCTTAGCTTAGGCGTCAAAGTGAGTAACATAAAAAACACTGCTCACAGGAAACTTGTATACCTTGACTGCAGCCTTACGTGAAGAATATGCTCTGCAGTCGTTTTAAAGCTGCTCTGAATCCATGTCTCTCTCCTCTTGCTGAGTAGGAGGATGAAATACAGGAAATAAAGATGTCGGCGGAGCAGATGGAAGAGAGCTACGGCCATTGGATGGACTATGTTTTGGTGAAAGAGGACCCAGTCAGTGCCTTAGCAGAGCTCCAGGTCGTGCTGGAGAGGGTGCAGATGGAGCCTCAGTGGGTGCCTGTGTCCTGGGTGAGGAGCTAGTCTGCTCAGCTGCTGCCGACTGCTTTATATTCAAGCCATGGAACACTGCGATGACGGAAAACTGCCTGAGGAGGCTCCGAGTGCTGGAGCGATCCAGTGTTTGCTGCCATATAACCATTCCACAGATACAGGTTCATGAGCTGAGTCATAACCGAACATCAGCGATCACTGAAAGCTGTTTTTGTTAGTCCGTACAAACATCTTGTGGTTCCGATTAGATTGATCACTGCAGGTAGTGACACAGGTACAGTGCTGGTGTGTATATACTGTATATCAATGTTGTACAGTGGCAGTAGAGCAGCTCTGACAGACATGAAGTACATGCATGCAGGACAGAGTTCCTAAAGCAAGAATCTGCTGTTGTGTGTTCAAAACAAAAACGTCTATATTTCAGCAGCTATAATGTGAAGTGCCATATTGAACACGTTGAACTGTCCTGTTTCCTCATGTGACTCGATTAAACAAGAGAAGTGTGTTGAACTTTTTTTTCTGTTGGCAGCTCTACTTGAAGGAAATTGAGAATAAAACTCAAGGATTATTTGGGGAAACCATTTACTTTAGAATGACTCAACAATTACAAACCATAAACAAAAAGAAGAAAAATATACATGTGTTGTTGCGTCGTGTTCAAGAAACACAGAAGGCCTTTTACTTCCACAGCTTCTTGATCGACATGTTCTTCTCACTGTCTTTCTGCATCACCTGGGGAGGAGTGGGGAGAGCAGACTCAATAGGCAGGTAGGTGCAGGTAGAAACATTTATTATGTGAGAACAAGAATAAAATAATAACTGAGTGCAGGATTAGAGTCATTCTATTCAGAAAAGAAGAGGTTACTCCACTTACCTTTGCCACAGCCATCTCAAAGTCCTCCTGGGTGACGTGAACCCTCCTCTCTCTCAGAGCGTACATACCTGCCTCTGTGCAAACACCCTGACAAACAAACAAGAAGAAAATTAAATTGTGTACAACCTCATTTCACAGCATACCGCCATCATTCAGTGCAACAACTCACCTTGACCTCAGCACCAGAGGCTCCGGGCATCAGTTCTGCGATCTTCCTCAGGTTAATGCCACGGGTCAGGTTCATCTTCCTCGAGTGGATCTTCAGAATGTCCAGACGGGCCTAAATGGTGCACATTTAAAATCACTCATACACAAAACCTCCCACTGCACGTATGACTGTGAAAATGACCTGTGCAAGTGTCTACCTCTTCATTTGGAGGGGGGAACTCGATCTTCCTGTCGATTCTGCCTGGTCTGAGCAGAGCCGAGTCCAGGATGTCAATACGGTTGGTGGCCATAATGACCTGCAGGAAAAGAAAGAGTGCATTTTAGTCAAATTTAGACTGAAACAAAAATAGTTATCTGGGTACTTGAATGGTCAAGATGTATAAATGAACAATTCAGTTGTTTCACCCTCCGTCAAGTATTTATAAGTTGTACATAAATATTAAGTTTTAAAATTAAAAACAGAATTAAGTAAACATAATAGAATACATAGAAGTGTACTATTACAATGATCAGATATGTGAATGCTCAGTGTTTTGGATACCTTAATGTTCTTAGTTGCCTCAAAGCCGTCCAGCTGATTAAGAAGCTCTAACATAGTCCTCTGCACCTCGCTGTCACCACCGGATCCACCCTCCAGCCGAGACGAGCCGATGGAGTCGATCTCGTCCATGAAGATGATGGAGGGAGCGTGCTCTCTAGCCATGACGAACAGCTCACGCACCATACGGGCACCTGGGGCAAGAGAGGGAGGAATTAAGGATACACAACCAGAGGCTTTTGATACGATCTAATCAAAATAATGGATGTGAAATTGATTAGTGTAAGAAAGAGGGGCGCACCTTCTCCGATGAACTTCTGGACCAGCTCGGATCCGGAGACCCTGATGAAGGTACAGTCGGTGTGGTGGGCCACGGCTCTGGCCAGCAGGGTCTTCCCTGTACCTGGGGGGCCGTACAACAACACACCCTGCCAAAATAAAATGCACAGACAGAAATCAGAACCTTCTTTACATAAATTAAAGTGTGCTTGTGTACAGTCAGCTCTCTTGTCAGTCACCCACCTTAGGCTGAGCAATACCTAAAGCCTCAAACAGCTCAGGGTGCTTGACAGGCAGCTCAATCACTTCCTTGATCTCCTTGATCTGCTTATCCAGGCCACCGATCATTTCGTAGGTGGAGTCCGGCACCTTCTCCACCATCATGAGGGACACCAGAGGGTCCACCTTGTTGGGCAGGATCTTATGAAGGGTGTAGCTGTCGTTACGCAGAGCCACGCGGCAATTGGGAGTCACCTGGTGCAGAAGTGGAAAAGGAATATGATGGAATATTCTAACTCGTAACAACCAAACATGAAATAAACCTGCAACTGTAATCACATATACAAATACTTTAATACTTACATCATTGATGTCGATGTTCTTGTCCACATCCACAACGAATTTTCCTTCTGGATGCACCTGAAATTTGTGAAGATACATTTTAATGTAGATTGTGAACTATCATATAAAATAGAGTGTGCTTCGATAAACAAATACAACATACCTTGACAAGCACTTTCTTTTTG